AACTTACAAATATAGAGTTGACATAAACAATACTTCAAAATACACATTGACACTATTTGTTACAACATTCATAACATCCACAATACAGGAGCCAGATCTAAACAATGCCTCCAATTGACAAAGTGAAGTCATGGACGATTATTCCCAAAGACCTCAATTACAAATAAAGTTACAATTGATTCAATCAGTTTGGCTTTGCGGGAGATGCGACTGCATGCCCACTATCCGTTTGACGTTTCAGGAAACTTGGGCCGCATGCAATTCTTCATCAGAGTATGTCACCTTCAGAATCACATCCAAACACTAGTCTCAAAACTGGAACCAGTGTTTATTCAATTGTATCCCAGTTTGGGTGTGATGCTGAAGGTGACATAAATTACTGATTTATTAGTTCTTTGCATAGTGAAAGTGGCAACAGCACATCACCTACTTGTCTAGAGGCAAGGAGGAGTCAAGCCAGACCCTTATAATCCACTAATGAAAGTTGGATCCCACCAACTCTTTTACAGTAAGAGTTGTTCAAAAGTGGAATCAGCTGCCTAGGGAAGTGGTGAGCTCCCTTTCTGGCAGTCTTTAAGCAGCGTCTGGACAAACACTTGCCAGGGATACTCTAGGCTGATCCTGCACTGAGCGGGGGGTTGGACTAGATGCCCTGTATGGCCCCTTCCAACTCTTTGGTTCTATGATTCTAAGAGTTGGGAGCTTAAGGCCACCCAGAAGTCCAGACCTCCCCAGCCAGATTATCTCTGTCTTAGATGGATTTAACTTCAACCAGCTCTGCTTCAACCAACAAACCACAGCTTCAAGGCAACAGACCAGATCTGTCAATGCAGAGCCTGGCTGCTTATCCAGCAGGAGAAAGAACTGCGTGTCGTCTGCATATTGGTGGCATCCAACTCTGAACCTCCTAATTAGCTCCAATAGCGGGGGAGGGGTGTATAATAACATTGGGGAGAGAACTGTGCCTTGTGGAACTACACACTGGAGAGAATGCTCAGTGAAACACACATCCCCAACTGCTACCCTCCAATGGCAGCCCTGTAGGAACAAAAGGAACCATGCTATGGTGGTTCCATGAACCCCCAGTGAGGACACGTGGTTGACCAGGATGAAATGATCAACTATGTCAAATGCTGCTGACAAATCCAATAAAATTAGTAGTGCAGACCCACCCTTATCCAATTGACGGTGGAGGTCAACCACCAAGACTACTCGAGCTGTCTGTGCACATTGATTTTGATTATATTTTAATGCAAAATTACTAATTTATCCAGTAGTATTTACATCCATGACATAAATATATACACCAATTTTTTTAATTAGGTTTTATTTTACTTTCCATAAAAATGTCAATTTTTTTTCAATTACGGTATACCATAAGTCACACTGCTTATCTAGGAGAATACATGTGGAATGTGACAACTGTAACTAAAAAATAAAATATTTCACTAAGAAATACAACTGGCTTGGGGGGGGGGGAGTGAGGAAGAAGTTGCAAGTCATATCATCACAATGCTGTACTTCCAAAGAACTTTAGTCATTACATTCAGGAAGTTCATGAACACTTGAAAGTTCATGAACCCCACTGTTTTTAGGGTTTTTTTAAGATTCATTCTAAACAAATGCAAGAAAGAAAATGCCCTGCAGAATTATTTGGCATCTATGAATTTGGAAGATTCCTATGAATTAGGAAGTCATGAATGCCAAACTAAAGATCTACAAAAGCAACTTAACAGGAAAAGGCACACAGGTCCACATTCCAAATGAAAATTACACTAATGTTAAGTGGTATATACAGTACTACCTTTAATGCAGCTTAGACAATTACTGTCTAAAATATATCAAACATGCCATTGAATGTTCGGCTACATAAGGAGGCAGACAACTTAAAATGAAAATTTCTTGACAGTACATATTTTTAAATTTCACTTGACTACTGTCATACATGCCTTGATAACTTCCCATTTAAATTACTGTGGTGTGCTATACATTGAGAAGGTTCACTAACTTAAATATATTACCCTGGTACTTCAAATGGTGCAGAATGCTACAGCCAGGATGTTGACTGGAGTGGGTCACATCACTCCAGTCTTGGCCCATCTACACTGGCTCCCAATTTGTTTCCAGACACAAATCAGGGGGCTGGTGTTGACCTTTAAAGCCCTATATGGTTTGGGACCAATGGGATCACCTCCTCCCTTATGAGCCTACCTGACCACTATGGTCATCTTCGGAGTCCCTCCTTCAAGTGTCCTGTCTTCCGAAATTCGGCAGGTGGCAAGCCAAGAGAGGGTCTTCTTGGTCGTAGCACCAAAACTCTGGAACTCTCTCCCCAGGAAGACTTTTTGTTTTCATTTGGTATTGTCTCAGTGATCGCTCCTTTCTGCACAATGTTTTAATTGTTATTTTTGTGTATTTGTATGTATTTTCTGTGCACCTCAGCGTTTAGTCATGCCAGCCACATGACCACTGAAGCATCTTCAAACAGTGCTGGCTTTTCGGCTTGGAAACGGAGATGACCACCGCCCCCTAGAATCAGATTAGACTAGCTTTCGAGCAAGGGAAACCTTTACCTTTTATGTATTTTAATTCCAGTTTCAATAACATGGGAGGTTTTTTTGTTGGTATTAAAATACTATTTTATTATGTATGTTTTACTTTGTTAGCAGCCTTGGTGGCCCTTGTGAAGTCAGAAAAACAGGATACAAATCTTGTAAAACAAAATAAATATGATTTTGTGCTCTGGGGACTCCAACATATATTAATAGGTTAAAACGGAGAAACATTAAACCAATCCATGTCGTATAGGAAAACTGATAATCACTCCACCATTGTAAATTCAGACACGAAAAATGCTGAAAATGGACCCCACACCCCCAAAACCCCACCCTATGCCATTGCTTTAGATTAGGCTTCCTTATCTCATACTAATTCCTCATTCATTCATCCTAGCATTGAAATATAAGATGGTGTTCACTGATATACATATCTTTTCAAGAAAAAGCAAGCCACTTCATATATTCCTGCTCTTCTACATGTAAACTATGGGATTCCTATACGGAAAGTGGAATGTGATAATCACGCATGTGTAACCACTGCACATACACAGGTGAAGAAGCTGCACCCCATCATGGCTTTCCAGTACAAAAGCAGAGCAATCCACATGCATACAGCACTGCCATTCAATATAACGGAAGTGATTTATGCGGTATACAATATAAGTAACATGTAAAACACCTTGGAGCCATGGGCATATCATACCATGCCCGGACGCTCAACATAACAATGTATTAGAATGCATTTGCATGTGAGCTTCTCCTGCTTCCTCTTCAGCACTTTATCTGTAAACTGGAAGTTCTGGAGCGAACACACACACACCCCAATAAAAATATTATGTGGGATGAATCAATCCTGCTCTGACAATTCACCTTGGATTATGCAGGCAGAGGATCCCATATTGACTCCACAGTTGGACTATTAGGACATCATGCTGCTGGACAGGAAATTTAACATTGGCTGAGGGCCTGCATCAGGACTGCAGGTATTTAGAGGCCCATCTGATACCTGGCAAAAACCTTGTACAGATTTATCTTTCGCTAAGGTGACCATGGCAACCAGTAACAAATTTTGCACTTTCCATTAACTGTACATTTAGTCTGCTCAAAGCCCATCACAAAAACCAAAACATTACAGCTACTGTCAGAGACAGGATCCAGGATTCGGAAGAGGATAACCATGTTCAACAGACCTAACAGCAGCACTGTTAGCTGTGAACTAAAATGCAACACACTGAAAACACTGCTGGATTCAATGGCTGTATAAGGATTCAAGCTCTGCATGCGATATATAAATAGCAGAAAAAATGGAAACTCCCACCTTCACAAGCCCAACGCAATTGAAAAGGAAACTAGAGACTGCAGACCAACAGTTCGCATTTTCAGCCATGAAAGCCCTTCAGCTAGTTCATCTACCACTACCTCAAAAGAAAGAAGGCGAAAAGTCAGCTCTAAGGCTACCCCAGTAGCAGAAACGTTCCAAACTGTCCCCTCCTCTGTGAGGGACTTAAATTATTGTTATTAAGGTAGACTCCAAACCTATCATTTAAGTCCTGCACTCTGTTTTTTTAACGTTTAACCCAGGGCCGTGGATTTCTTTAAATTACTTATTTGCTACTTTGTGCCTTAAAAGCCCTCAAAGCGTTCGGAAGTAATAGACAGCCATTGCCTCTGAGCATGCGCAAAATACCATTTCCCTCTCCTTCCCCACAAATTTGGTCTCAGGAACAAAGGCTTATAGCTCAGAAGGACTCACTGCTCGTGAGGTATGAACTCCTCTGATTTTTGCCAGTGAAGGAGTAAGGAGTGGAGCGGATGGGGGGGGGGGG